AAAAAAATACACCCAGAAAACCAGGAAGTTGGCAGCATCGGCCCCATGTTTACAGACAAGTAACCATAAGCTCAGAGAAGTATAAATCCTGTGTGAAAGACTGACCCCACCTTGTTTTCCCAGGTGCATACAGATACAGGAAAGCCATATGTGCAGACTGCTTGACACAGGCAGGGCAAGCTACCTAAGCCTGGTTGTAAATAGCCCCTTGTGGCCCCAACTGAGAGGGCCCCCCTCCCGCCCACCTAATAGCCTTTTCATTAACCTCTGCCTCCATGTTCAGACCTCATAAAAACCCAACTCCTGTTCTACCTCTTTGCACAGTCTCTAAGCCTGGGGGGAGGCTGTGCCACTTGCTGCTATATCTCAATACAGTCCTCCCCTGTGGAAGATCAGGTCTGGACAATTATGTTCCTTTCTCCTCCATTTTCTTAATATATGGTGCCAAAACCCAGGAAAGAAGTGCCAAGAATAACTGGGTCCCCTCTACCCGCCTCCTGGCCACCTCTTATCAAGCCTTTTACACTCACTCTTTCTGAGACCTCTCCCCACCAGGAGCACAGAGCCCCCTGTGCCTTTTCCTCCTCCATCTGCCTCTTCATTTTCCCTCTCTTCTGTCCCTCAACTCTGATCTCCAGGCACAAGGCTCTTTGCTGTTTGATGAGCGACTCCATCCACCACCGAAAAGCCTTCAGGACAAGGTAACCAGCCATGGAGGCACACTGACACAAATCAGGGAACTCCAAGAAGTCCCCCCATGAACCTGGGGACTCCAAGAAGTCCCCCACTCTTCTGTGGGGTCTCCAGAGACTCCAGGAATCTCTTTGCTCACCCCTGAAATCCTTTAATTAGAACTTTGGGGATGCTTTCTCCTAATTATTGGAGCCCATTTATTTGCCTTGCCAAAGCTTCAGGGATGCCTGAAGCAACAAGACAGGCCATCCCATAGATCCTACAAAATTTTCCAAAATGGGTTCTCAATTGCAGCCCCTCAGAATTAATTCACTCATGTATATAAATCTGGCCTCAGAACAAACTCCAGCCCAAGTCTGGTACTTTTGATTTTAACTGTCTGACATAAAATGCAATAGCAAGGGGTCCAAGGTCCCCAAACCCATGCCCACCTCTGCTCATCCTGTTTTGCTCACTAAGTACTTCTCTGACCTCTCTCTGCTTGAGAGAGGCCTATCCTGCCTTGCTCACCAAGCCCTTCTCTGCCATAAGCCAGCTATAGCCTCTAAAAAGGTAATTTCCTTGCCTTGTAGCAGCTCAATTTCTCTCTCTGTGTCTGTGTGTGTGTCTCTCTTTCTCCCTCTCCCTCTCCCCCTCTTTTTCAACTTTTGCTCTAGTAACTACATTCTTTCCTTCTGCAGTTGGTAAACTGTCTGTGTTAGCCTGACATGTAGTCTGTCCTCTAAACAAACTCCCTCTGTGCCCGTCTACAGGCCTGTGTGGCTGACACAAGGTGGGGGTAGGCATAAGCCTCCAAAGGTAAAAACAAGCTAACAGCCCTGCTTAAACTCTCTCTAAGCAAGCCCTTCTCTCTTTCTTACAAATCACTCTTTAACTCCACCAGACAGACAATCCCCCCAGTCCTCAGAAAAGTTGAAGAGGGCTAATAAAATCCTTAAGAAAATTTTAACCCACCTAACCCTGGAGCTCAAACAAGGCTGGGTTAAACTTTTACCCCTATGGCTTCTTCCTCATAAACCTTACCAAATAAGCCCCTTAAAACTTACACATTTCCCAACTCCCTTCTCTGGCAAATATACCTTCTTGCCTTCTAGACCCTAAATAAATGGGCCTCTGCTCTTGCTCTTTCACTAATCTATGATTAACAGTGGCTGGCAGGCTGGCTGACTAACACATGGGGGCCAGCTTCTCTCTCTTACTTCTCTCTCTTTTTCCTACCCCAAAATCCCATAATAAAAACAAAGTCCTTTTTTGTCTTTGGGACTCAGACAATAATCCAATCCTTTTCTCTTTCTTGAGTCCACTCACTTCAGAATCTGGGTTAAAAGAAAAAGGAAGTAGTAAAAGAAATGAGACTCAGCCCCATTCCTATCCAACTGTGATGGAAAACACCAGTGATGAGATAAGAAAATATAAAGAAAGAAGGAAGTCAGTAAAGAAAGTCTTGGGAAAGGAATTGAGGAAACAAAAAATGGATTCCTTTGGATAAAAAAAAAGGATTTGGGAAAAATTACCTTAAATGTTTGTTACAAAATGGAAAGACAAACCTCAGAAGGTTTGAGTATGTAGCACATGGTATAAGTATACCTTAAAGGATAGAGCTTATGAGTAAAGTTGGTATGTAATCAACTTGGCTGTGATTTAACTAAGGTCAAGATTAATACACTGATGTAAAACCAGCATCTCATTCTTTATGTCCATCTATGAAAGTAATTGTGCATTATTAAGTTTGTCACACAAAACTAAGTGACAACTAAACCAAAGTTCACTTAAGTGTTTGTTAATGTTACAGTCCTTCAGTTGAACATCATTTAACCTGAATGCCATTTTTCCCTGTTTAATGTCTGTTTCCCAAGTAATTAGTATCCTAAAGTGCTATGTTCAGTTAAAACCAAACTAGATTGTTTAATCAGTTGCTCTTTTAACTCTATTGCTTACTGAGTTTATTATTACAGATTTTATCCTATGTAGTATTTAGTCAGACTCACAGAGGAACAGGTGAATCTTACAAGTTTGTCAGATTTAACTTTGATTCTTCATAAGTTTCAGGTAAGCCCTACTTAAAAACTATTCCTATTGATCTCCTTGTTGCTTAATTTGGGAATAACAGGGGCACAAGACTCCATAAACCCCTCCAATGTGGGATTCAGCCAACTGAGACAGCAATCAATGAGCAACACTAAATATCATCCCAGTAAGGAGAAGAGACCCTGCCCCCAGGACACACCTGGATGGTCCTGGAGACCAGGGACCACACAGAGGCAGTTGGGAAGAACTTCTCAGCTAAGAGGAGATGGTGTCAGATCCCAAATAGAGTCACTGGTGCTTGTCCTTTCAAAAGTGATCAAAAGCCAGGAAATCAAAAGAAAATAGTTCATAAGCATGCCTATCTAATATCCATACCTGTTTACCTTCTAACTGGAGAGAGACTTACATTCTTGCCTTTGTTACTTGGTATTTCTATTTCCTGTCCATACTATACAGTCCAGACATCTATAGTCCAGTTATATGGAAGTTCTTCCTTCCCTAAAATAGGCTACAACTGGGATTATGCTCCATATGGAACTTTTCTGGCATGTGCCCTGGGTCTGTTTTCCTGTGTTATTCATACCAACTAGTCCTGCCCCCTAGTCAGCCTTTTGCCTGATCTCACCTTTTTCAAAAATTTCTCTTTGATAGGATAACAGCCCTCACTCAGGCAACTAGAGACTTCACTTCTGCTGTCCTGCCCTACCAAGCCCAGACCTGGACCCTGAAGACCCCAGTGACTCGGATACCCCCATGTCAGCAGGAAGTAGCCAAAAAAGACCACAACACCCCTCAACTTTTTATACTCCTTCAGGGTTTCAAATGATGGGACTCTGCTTTGTTCTCATAACTCCATGTATACATCCAAAGACCTTATATGAAGGACTGGCTTCTCCCTTATTGGCTCATTTTTCTATGTATCCAAAGATGGAATATGAAGGATTGACCCCCACTCTGTGTCTCTGATAAACAGTCCTCCCCTATAGAGGATTGAATCTGGCCTTTTTCCTTCCTTTCTCCTCTATTTTCCCAACAGTATGTCTATAGACATATGGCTATGATAGCATAAAGAGTAGGCTTTGAGGTTAGTTCAGTGGATACCATTGCTATTGCCCTTTCCTTTGTTACTCCTGATGCCAGGGTCCAAGACCTGGGCCCTGGAGTGTCCCTACTCCCACCCCTACCCCCTTCTGAGCCCCATGATGCAGACTGGGTGGGTGATTTCTGCCCAGTTCTCTTGCTGCCATCCTGACGCTGCTCCCACTGTGCCCAGAGAATAAAATCTGCTCTTGGCACTGCAACCAGCTGGCCCAGGTCCTCAGGGGAAGGAGCGCCAATGCCAGAGCGCTTCACTGTGCCTAAGGGGGTCTTAGAGGGCTCAAAAGAAGGGGCTAAAGACACTCTACAAATAGGCCAGCCATGCAGAAGGCCAGGAGGGCTTAGGCTGTAAGGAGCCCTGTAGCCAAGCTGTGAGGTCTGAAGGGACTGAGAGATTGGTGTTCCAATCTCTCCCGGGACGCTGGGTATTGGGGCCCAGGAAACCAGCAGTCTAGGCAATGCAGAGGCTCAAATTAGTACCCTAAGTGTGTTTAAGACAAGTTATGCCTCATGTTAATAGTTATAACCCTAGCCTTCGCACCTATCTTCAGTCTCCTCACCCTGTACTAAACTCAATAAAAAATGCTTATTAATGGAGTCATCAGGATTCCTGATGGCAGGAATTGCTTCAGGTCCCATTGTCTCTTAAAACCTCAGTTTTTGGCCTTGTTTCCCATCATTGTACTGCTCCTGGTTGGGAAATATTGGGACAATGTACCCTTCCACGAAGCTACTGGACAGATCTCTGCTATGGACAGACTCACAGTAAAACAGAAGGATCCACAATAGAGAACAGTGGGAACAGGAAGATCCTCCATTGGGAGCTTTGGCCTACACTGGGAGCTCAAATGCTGAGTGTATAACCCAGCCTTCAACATATCTGGGAAGTGATCACAGCTGCTGTTGGATGGCCCATGTGCTCCCATACCCCTTCTCCCCATTTAATGGGAGCTAAGGTCTGGGTTGGAAAAAGAAGCTTTACCTAGAAGGATCAGAAGGTGAGGCTGAGGGTGGAGTCAATTACTGCAGGCATCTCACCTGACAGACCAGGCCTTGAGGGCAGGGCTACTCGGCTTGATCCAGCCAATAGGACCAGGGGCAGATTGGTGGGATAAGGGCCAATTACTGCTGAAGTGGAGCTGGTTTCTCATAAATAGAGGGACAACTGTTTGGAGCTCAGCATGAGCTGCAGAGCCATGGCCAAGATGACCGGTAAGTGACAGCACTTCTCTAGATCTGAGCAAGAAGAAGCTGAGGAAAGATATGTTGGATACCAAAATGAGGCAAGCAACCCAATTGGGGAGATGGATACAAGTCAAGAGGTTTGGGCTGGGTCTGAGGACAAGTCTTGAGAAGAGGGCCATGCCAGAAGAGAACTGAGACTGGGTTGGATCTGGACTGAGGACCAGGGATGAGTTGGAGGTGTTAAAAATGACTTGATAGCTGGGCACCAGTGGTTCATACCTGTAATCCTAGCTACTCAAGGGTCTGAGATCTGAGGATCATAGTTCAGGAAAGTCCGTAAGACTCTTATCTCCAATAAACTACTCAGAAAAAGCCTGAAGTTGTACTGTAGCTTAAGTGGTAGAGTACTAGCCTTGAGCACAGAGAGGCTCAGGGACAGCCCAGGCCCTGAGTTCATACCCTGGAACTAGCAAAAAAAAAGTGTTACTTGATAGAATGGAGATGGTCTGGAGATGGTTAGGGGCATTCAAGGAGAAGGACATGGGGGCTGAGATGGATATGGTGACCTCTCAAAGAAGTGGGAACATTTGTTGGGTGGAGGGTTGAAGTAGGTCTGGGGATGGAGAGTGAAATGTGGTTTGAGGAGTCATTTCTCCAGGCTTGGTCACCCCTCTCCTGTTTTCTGAGGGTTTGTCCCAGTGGAACATTCTCTTGGCATTGAGAAAGATTTGCACTGGGAGCCAGATGGATTTCCTGTATCTTTTCAGCAGGTGCCCCCTTCCTTCTGGAAGCTTCAGCTGTGCCACATGTACAAAGATCAGAATCCCCCCCCTAAAAAACTAGAGCTACTAGAAAGAATACAGTGTATACAGTTTCTGCTGTTCCCGCGTAGGGGCAGGTGACACTGTCAAACACTCAGGTGAATTTGTACATCAGGATGTTTCATTGTACAGAAGATGATCAAGTGCCTTGGGACATGTTGCAAGGTAGTGATCAACAATAAGAGCAATGGTTTCTGATCTTAGTGTCATAGTCCAAACCTAGAAACTTTGGGGGGCACCAGGAGGCCAAAGAACAATAGGACTGCTCACTTACCACAGGTTACTCCCCCATTCCCCATCTTCCATGCAACTATGCCTTCCTCTCCCTTCTTCCCTTCTTCTCCCTCCCTCTCTCCCTCTCTCCCTCTCTCTCTTACACACAGTACATAATATATATATACATACATACATACATACCCCACATATCATACTCATCTCCACAAAGTCACAAATATATCCATCTGTAACCATATACTTGCAACACATAGCTCTAATGATTCACAGATGCATGCAGCTATACCCATCCTGTACAGAGAAGGCAGAGTCTAGAGCCGGAGCCCCAAAAAGGCTAACAACCATGATTTTCTCTGTCTCCAGGAATTCTGATCTTGGGGCTTCTTTTGGCCACCTCCAGCTGCCTGGCCTACTTTGAGGACCTGGCCAAGTGCTTTCAGGACCCGGAGTATGAGGCTTTATTAGCCACAGCCCGGGGCGGCCTTCGCTCCTCCCCACTGCCCAAGCATGTGATTGTAGTGGGAGCTGGCATGTCAGGCCTGTCAGCAGCAAAGACCCTACAAGATGCTGGCCACCAGGTGAGACAGCCTTGAAGGGGTTCGAGTCATTTACTCCCATTTTCCTCCTTGTATTGAAAAAGAAAAAGTAGAGTGATAGTCAACTTTTGGCCAACTACAGATAACCCACTGGGCCTCCAATGCCCTTCAACCCTAAGTCATGGCCAACTGCTATTTGTGTCCTCACAAAGTGAAGAGCTGTGCTAGCAGGTGGGGCCAAGAAATGAGAGGTACCCTCTCCTGGCCCACCTGGAGCTCTCCTGGAAGCAGCAGCCTCAGCAGTTATCCTGCATGACTGGGACCTGGTGATGGGGATTTCAGGCCAGAGCATGTGGCCATGTGGAGTTAAAGAGCAGAGGCTGGGGAGAAGGAATAGCAGGTCTCTGAGATGACAGCAGCTTCTCTGGCCTCTAGGTAACCATCTTAGAGACCAGTGACCGCATTGGGGGTCGAGTGTTCACATTCAGGAACAAGGAGGAGGGCTGGTACTATGATCTGGGGGCAATGAGAATTCCAAAATCCCACAGGTAAGTCTGAGAAGAGGGCTGGAGCAAAGGGCACATGGGAAGAGGAAGAGGTGGGAGGGTACCTGACACCATCATGTCAAAGCCCTTTGAGATTCCCTGTGTCAGGTGATTCCATTCGAAATCAGGACTAATGCCTGATCCCCCACCTAACAGACTAGAACAAGGCTCGGGGCCTAGGATCTCATAAGAACTAACAACTATAATCATTACCATTAGCGCATTAAACAATGAGCAGTTTCTTATATGTCAGTTATTATTGTTAATTATTATTTGTTGAGTGTTAACTTTCTGCTAGGCTCTGTACTAAGCATTAGATTTATATTATTTGTCATTTTATAGTAATTATAGAGTTGTTGATCTTCACAGCCTTATAAGCAGGTAGGCAGACAGACAGGTAGGCAGCAGGCAGATAGACAGACAGACAGACAGACAGATGATACTATTTTTGTGCCCACACTAGGGCTTGAACTCAGGACCTCAAGCTTTCCCTTTGCTTTTTCACTCAATGCTTGCACTCTACACTTGAGCCAAACCTCCACTTTCAGCTTTTTTTCCTAGTTAATTGGAGAGAAAAATCTCATGCATTTGTCTACCTGGACTGGCTTTAAACCATAACCCTAAAATCTCAGCCTCTTGAGTAGCTAGGAATATAGGCATGAGCTACAGGTATCTAACAACCATATATTTTGATTCTCCTCCTCTCGTTCCTCTCGTTTATGAATCAAGAAACTGAGCTCAGAAATATTAAGTGGTTTACCCATGTTTCACCTAAGAGAAAGTGACAGAGCTTCTCCTTAAGATCAAATCATATGACCAGCCCCCAGCCATTTTTTGTCTGGTGTTCAGACTTCCAATCCAAAAAGATCTCCTGCCTGGTATCCTCTTTTTGTGTGTATGTGTTTTAATGTAAATTAAACACAGGTTTCTCTCCAAATCACTGAAAGAAAAAACCAACCTAACTAGCCCAAACTAGAATCACTGAATGTGACCTCAAACTTCCTTAGAAATACATCTGAAACAGAAGGCCTGCATGTCTACTATCCATACTTATAAATTAGTATTTCCTAAAGGATCTTAATTCAGTGATGTGTGAACACCCCTCACCCTCTATGTCCCCCAGGACAAAACAGAAATTCAAAAAGGAAATAAATGCTTACTGCAAGAGGAAAAGGAGATCTGAGTTGCAAGAGTAATTAGTCTAAGTTCCCTGGGCACAAGAAGAAACTGGTTTCCTGGAAGTACATTCCACTGCGAAGCCAGCAGAAACAAGGATGGGGGGAAGGGATGGAAAGGGCGGGCAACATTGTGTCTGTCTCTGCTCCAGGCTGGCCCATTTCTTCATCAAGAAGTTTGGCTTGAAGTTGAACAAGTTCATCCAATCTGACAACAACACTTGGTATCTTTTCAATGGACATCGCTATCGTGAATGGGAGGTCAAAGCCAATCCAGGGCTCTTGGGCTATTCTGTGAAAGCCACAGAGAAGGGCAAGAGTGCTCTGGATCTCTTCCACCAATCCATCATGAAGGTGCCTACTGCATTATCCCAGCTAGGACTAGAAGGAAGAGGGTCTGACCTAAAGTCCCCTGCCAACTGGTGAATGGATACAGGTCCCCTGCTTGGTGCTCTTCCTTCTAACATCCCATAACAATATTACTACCCTCAATCCCTCCTCCAGTCCCTTCTCTTCTCCTGTCCCTGGGTGGGCCAATGGCCTAGTACTTGATGAGAATTAGGGGCAAAGGGGAATAGTAGATCAGACAATCTTTTAGAATAACTCAGTCCTTCTGAGTCACATTGAAGATCTGTGGTGCCCTAAACTTAGTTTCTAAAAGGTCTTTGAATGAAAAAGAGATAATTGGGGGTGGGGAGGAGGGAGTAAGGGGCATGTAGAAATACCTGGAGCTAGGTTCTCCTAGTGCTTCCTTGCTTCCAACTCTTCAAGAGACATCATCCAGAGAATCCAAGAGTCCTGGCCTGGAATCTAACCTGCTCCCTCTTCCTTTCCCCGTAGCCTTGTCCACAGCAGCCTGGCTGCTCTTGGCAGTCCTCAGGCTCCACTTGATGGTAGTACCTTTCCTTCCCTTCTGCAGCTCAAGCGAGGTCTAAACACATTCAACTGCAGCCACCTGCTGTCCTTTTATGATTCCTACTCCACCAAGGTAAGACAAAGATATCCCGAGATGGAGGTGGGCTGGTGGGTTCTGAGCAGTCCCCTGAGAGAGCAGGATACTCTCACTGCCAAAGCCTTTGTCTCCTGATGACCAGGAGGACTCCCCTGAAGGTGCTCACCCTCACCAGGCCCAGACCCCACTAAAGCCCTTTCCTCTATCCCCACACTCCCACCTCGGGCACCCCTCTCCCACCCACAGGCTTACCTGCTGAAGGAAGGGATGCTGAGCGCAGAAGCAGTGAGACTGATCGGGGATCTGATGAATGAGAACGGTGGATACTACAAGTCCTTCCTGGAGTCCCTGCGGAGTGCTAGCATCTTCTCCAAAAGTGACGAGTGAGCTAACCTGGTGCCAGGATGATTCTTTTTCCCAACACTGATTTATCAGCTATGTACTGTGTGCCAAGCACTTAGCAGGAACTATCCCATTTAATCCTTTGGATCAATCCTTTCTATTATTCTGTGCCAGTTCTCCAGTAAAGGTATGAGTTGTTAACTTACCCATGTTCATACAACATGGGCTTGGACTGAGGTCTGACTCCAGACCTGGGGTTGTAAGACTCCTGAGAAGCAGAATTGCTGTATGACTGAGTGCGTGGGCTCCAATGCTAGAGACTGCCCATGTGATCTTGGGAAAGTTGCTTCTCTCTGAGTCATTAATTGAGAAGGCAGAACAGAGCTGGGCCCTGGTGGCTCACACCTGTAATCTTAGCTACTCAGGAGGCTGAGACCTGAGGATCATGGTTCAAAGCCAGTCGAGGCAGGAAAGTTTGTGAGACTCTTAACTTCATTTAACCACCAAAAAGCCAGAAGTGGATCTGTGGCTCAAGTGCAAGAGCACTAGCTTTGAGTAAAACAAGCTCAGAGACAGCACCCAATCCCTGAGTTCAAGTCCAGGACTGCCCCCCCACACACACACCACACAGACACACACAGACACATACACACACACACAAGGTAGCAATATAAGAAGTGTTCAGCCCAGCATGCAGGGAGCTAGTTCCCTCTCCTTTTAGACTAGCAGCGAAGCTAGCAATGAAGCTAGCTGTCATCCACCTCTCCTCTTCTCTTCGCCCCTGCAGATTTTTCGAGATCACCGGTGGCTTAGACCAGCTCCCCAATGCCCTCAGTGCCAGCCTGAAGCCTGGCACCATCCATCTGGGGGCCAAGGTGGAAAGGGTGGTGAGGGCTGGGCCTGAGGTCCGAGTTTTGTACCGCACGGATGGGCCGAGTTCAGAGCTGCACAACCTCACCGCTGACTATGTCATCATCTCTGCCTCCGCCAAGGCCACGCGGCTCATCGACTTCCAGCCACCACTGTCCCCAGAGAAGAGAGACGCGCTGCGCTCCATACATTACACCAGCGCCAGCAAGGTGGTTTTGGCCTGCAATGAGCGCTTCTGGGAACGCGACGGTATCCGGGGAGGAGCCTCCATCACTGACCGGCCCTCGCGGTACATCTACTACCCCAGCCACCGTTTCCCAGGGGGCAAGGGCGTCCTGCTGGCCTCCTACACGGTGGACGACGACTCCTCCTTCCTCACCGCCATGAAGCCCAAGCAGTTGGTAGACACTGTCCTGGACGATCTGGCGGCTGTGCACCAGATACCCAAGGAGGAGCTGCAGCGCCTGTGTCCTTCCTCGGTGATCAAGCACTGGTCGCTGGACCCCCTCTCCCTCGGTGCCTTTTCGGAGTTCACACCTTACCAGTTCGTGGACTATTCCAAGCCGCTCTTCCAGCCAGAGGGCCGCATCTACTTTGCGGGCGAGCACACCTCCCTGCCCCATGCCTGGATCGACACTGCCATTAAGTCTGGCCTCAGGGCTGCCAGGAACATCCAAGCCGCAGTGGACCAGGAGGTCGTAGGCGGGACAGGGGCCTCTGCAGAAGGCTCTCCCTAACATCCAGGAAAGCTTCTTCCCCAAGAGCAGTCTCTGAGGGAGTCTGGCAGGAGCAGGCAGGAGGGAGGGAGGAGAAGGCAGAGACTCAAGAGAGAGGTCACCATTGGTCCCTTGGCCCACAAGCAGGAACCCAAAAAGCGCCAGGCAAAGAAGCCAGATGGCAAGTTAGCAAGAAACATCATCCCCTTTCCTGTGTTCCTCCCCTGCCAGCCCCTCTTCAGAAAGGAAGCAACAGAGCCCAGAGTGTATTTTCTCCCCAACTACACTTGCGGCAACCTCACAGGCTCAGATTGTATCTTTTCGGTTGTCCTGAATTTTCCATGATAAACGCTATGCACCTGCAACTTCTTTCTGCCTGTCAACATTTATTAAGCCTTTACCAAATGTCTGGCACTGTACTGAGCACAGAAAGATAGAGAACGAATCACGCTATGAATCAAACTTCCACTTCACCTTTGTCCCTATAGGTGCCAAGGCCAGCTCCAAATCTGGCTCCGTTTTTTTTTCTGTATCCCAAGTTCTTGCAGACCAAGGGATATTCCTGGATATTTTCATCCAATTAGGCAAAAGGGGAAAGTAAATCAAGTTTTTACTTCTCTGTCTCTCTGTCTGTCTCTCTGTCATTTCCTGTCTTTCTCCCTCTCTCTCTCCCCCCTTTTTCTCTCTCAGAGAAGACCCTGTAGGTAACGCCATAAAATATTGATATTGAGTTGTGTTAATGATTATAAGAAGAGGAATAGAGAAAGATAATGTACATTTTCAGTTCTAAAGCCCTGGACTAATTTTTTTTCTAGTTTTAAATTCACTGCTACATTGGTCAGGACTTTTTTCAGTTTTAATTGATAGAAACCAAACTCAAACAAATTTGAGAACAAAGGAAATGTTTGGGCTCCTATTTCTAGGAAGTTCAGGATGAATCTGAACTGGTTCCCTTCACCCAGAGTGACAGGACTCAGGGCAGAAAAGATGTCATGAAAATTTTCCCTCTTCTTGACTCAACATACTAGATTGAACAGAGTTTCCCAAATTCATGTCAGAGTGAGCAAATGTGACTGGATCGTGAAATATGACATTTGCAAATGTAATCAAGCTAAAGTGATATCAACTTAAAGTAGGCCCTAATCCAATGATTTATGTCCTGATAAGAAGAAGACAATCTGAGTCTCTTCATGTAGAGGGAAAATAGCCATGTGAATGGAGTCAGAAAGATGTATCTACAAAGCAAGTGACACTGAAGATTTCTAGAAACCATCTAAAGCTAGGAGACATACATAGAACCAATTCCTCCTCAGAAGCCCTAAAAGAGCCAGCCCTGCCAACACCTTGACCTTAAACTTCTTCTAGTCTATAGAATCATGAAAAATAAATTCCTGCTGTTTTATGTCATCCAAGATTGTGATGCTTTGTTATGCCAACCCTAGGAAATTGATATAGCTTCCTTCTTTTCTCCTCCAGCAAACAGCATTGTCACAAGCAATACAATGATCGTTTTTCCATATAAAAAAAGAAATAATTCCTCTTTCCTGTCTCTCTCTAATGTATATACATATATACATATATATATTAGAACCTGGGCACTGTCCCTGAGCTTCTCTGTGCTCAAGCTAGTACTCTACCACTGAGCCACAGAACCACTTCTGGCTTTTTCTGAGTAGTTTGTTGGAGATAAGAGTTTCACAGACTTTCCTGCCTGACTGGTTTTGAACCACAATCCTCAGATCTCAGCTTCCTGAATAGCTAGAATTAACAAACTTGAGCCACTGGTGCCAGGCTATCACTACCTTCTTGATCAGGGGCATACACCTTAGTCTAGATTAACAGCTCCAGTAGCCACTGCAAGCGAGGAAAGAGACAGGCTCTTAAGAATCTTGGGCAGAAGTTGGGTACTGATGTAATCCTAGCTACTAAGAAGGCTCCTGAAGATCGTGTCTTGAAGACAGCCAAGGCAAGAAAGTCTATAAGATTCTTATCTCTAATTAACCACTAAAAGCCAGAAGTGGAATTGTGGCACTAGAGTGCCAGCCTTGAGCATAGAAGCTCAGGGACAGCACCCAGGCCTTGAGTTCAAACTCTAGGACCAACACACACACACACACACACACACACACACACACACACACAATTAGAAAAACCAGGTGCCAGTGACTCATGGTGCCATCAGAAATCTGTGTGTATGGTGTTGCACTGTGAGGACTGTGGTTCAAAGCCAGACACGAAAGTCTGTGAGTCTCTAATCTCAATTAGCCACTAAGACAAACAAAACAAAACAAAAAAGCCAGAAGTGGAGCTGTGGTTCAAGTAGTAGAATGCTAGCCTTGAGTATAAAAACCCAGGGACATGGACTAGAAAGGTGGCTCAGTGGTAGAGCACTTGTCTTGCATGCATGAGGCCCTGGGTTCAATTCCTCAGCACCACATAAACAGAGAAAGCCAGAAGTGGAGCTATGGCTCAACTGGTAGAGCACTAGCCTTGAGCTGAAGAGCTGAGGGACAGCACCCAGGCCCAGAGTTGAAGCCCCACGACCGACCAAAAAAACAAACAAACCAGGGACAGTGACCAGGCCCTGAGTTCAAGCCCCAGGACCAGCCCTGCCCTGCCCCCCCCAAAAAAAAAGAATTAGAAAAGTTGTTTTGCTTTAAGATATATAAAAAAAGAATTCCTATAGAGTCCGTAATGTCTGCGTGGGTTAATTGTTTAGTCTAATTTACAAATTAAATAAAAAGATCACATAGATCTTTTGTAGTAAAATGTGTGCCAAGGCTATTTTGAGTGTTATCTCAGTGCCTAGTATGTGTGAGATCCTGGGATTAGTCTCAACAAAGAAAATCAAGGAAGCAAGCAAGCAAACAAGCAAGCAAGCAAGCAAAGAAGGAAAGAAGGAAGGAAGAAAGGAAGGAAGGAAGTGAGGGAGGGAGAGAGGGAGGGAGGCACAGAAAAGGGTGGAAGGAGAAAGGGAAGGTGGAAGGGGAGGAGGGAAGGGTGAGGAAGGAAAAAAGGAAGGAGGAAGGAAAGAAAGAAAGAAAGGAAGAAAGAAAGGAAGGAAGGAAGGAGAAAGAAAAAGAAAGGAAGGAAGGAAGAAGAGGGAGGGAGGGAGGGAGGGAGGGACCACAGTTAGATCTAATATCTTCAAAATTGCCTACCTCAGAAGAACTGAAAAGCTCACTCCCTTGAACCTGCGATCGTCTGATTGCCCTACTTCACACTAGGGTTCTGGCTCTTACCTGTCTCACCAGGGCTAAAAAAAAAAAAAAGAAGAAGTAAATAAACTTGTGAGAACCCCTGGAGCTGAGCTGTAAGGCCTAAAAAGGGTTAAGAGATCCGAATGCCATCTCTGACAGCATTCAGAAGGCTGAGAACTGTGCCCAGGAAAGGTCAGACCAACAGAAGTAAAAATTACTGCCCTAAGTGTGTGTTTAAGTTACAGCTGTTTGGACACTAAGAGCTTAAACCTTGGAGGTAAGATGAGAATCTGTACTAAGGCTGGAATATTTATTGCTTCCCTCCACTTCCTAAGATAAGGAAGTCAGTTGTCACTGGTATACAAACTATGCCTCATGTTTATGATTATAACCCTAGCCTTTGCACGTATCTTTAGTCTCCTTGCCCTGTACTAAACTCACAGTAGGAATCACATTGGGTCTCCTGGTCCCCTAAAATCTCGCTTCTTCATCCCAGTCTCCCATTATGGTATTGTTCCTGGTCATGGTGGGTTGTTACAAAACTGGTGATGCTGTAGGAAGATGAAAAGGAAAAGGACTACAGTTCCTGGGAAGATTAGGAAATTGCTTTCTGTGGAAATGGTCCCATGGTAAGGTGGCATGGATGTGGGAGTGGGGAGGCGAGAGGCTGCCTCTCCCGGTCCCCCAGGCTGCTCTGCCATTGGCAAGCATCTGATACTGAAGATCTCCCAGCTCAAGTACAATGGGAATGTTGGCATCACTCTGGGACTTCTCGATCAACTTGAGCTCCCAGGCCTACTCACAAGAGGAGCGCAGGGCAAGACAGTTCTCTTTTAAAAGCCTGCATGCCTGACTTTACCTCCAAGAGAAAGACCCAAGGGCACCCACCCAGGGGCACCCACCTCGGAGAACGTGGAGCCCAGCCGCCATTTTGGAAAATAGAAAAAAACCAACAGTAGGAAAAAACCCAGAGGCAGATCACAAAGCCGGTCAACATCAATGCCTGGACAGAGACTGACTGTCTCTGCTGTTTGTCTGTCAGGTTCCCCTTTTCTCCCTGATTAACTCATGGTCTAGGGCAGAGTTTCCTCTGTTTGGGCCTCCTCTTCAGGCCCCTTTCTGTGCTATGGCCCCATCTGTTCAGTTACATAGAAAAGAGCATACTCTCCCAGTAATTCACTGACCCTCCAGAGGAGCAACACATGCTTACATCAAACCAAACGGACTTTAGAAAGCCTGGGGGTACCAAGTCAAGGGGAACACTCAGGTGCTCCTGACCCTACCTGTTCCTGGCCTTCCCATTACTCCTCTCCCTTTCCCCCACCACCCACTGTAATCCTAACTGCTTAGGAAACTGAGATCTGAGGACTGCAGTTCCCAGTCATCCCAGAAGCAAAGTCCCCTTCAATCCCACTCTACTGGTGGGTGGGAAAAAAGCAGAAAAAAAAGGAAATATGTCATTGCATATTACATTTGAGAACAAATTAATACTATTTATTTTAATACGATTTAATATATTTTAATGCTATTTATTTTAATATTTGATTTTAAACTATATAAACACAGGCAGAAGAGTACACACTGACTTGAGAACAGGGCTTCCATTTAGGGAAGGAGGGCTGCAGACAAATATAGAAAAAGCTAAAATGTGTTAAGTATGCCGGAGGGGACGGGGGTGGGCATAGAATGATGATTATATTCTTTTTGTTTTCAATTCCATATTTTTAAGCATTAAAAATTGCAACATTGTCCAAAATGCTCATAAATCAACTTGTTGGATTAAAACCATTTTGTACAACTATTTAAAGATAATAAAAATTA